ACTGGATATACTTCAGCAAAGTTGATGTTTGGTCGGGAACTTCGGTTGCCAGTGGATCTGTTAACAGGACGCCCACCTTATGAAGAGTTGCCTGAGAATGTGTCAGAGTTTGTGAAAGTGTTATCGGAAAGGATGGATAATATTCACCATCAAGTGCATTCAAACTTGAAAACGTCTGCTGATTCGATGAAGTTAACTTATGATAAGAGATCTACTGAAGTCAACTTTGTACCATAAGACAAGGTGTGGTTGTATAATCCCAGGAAGACCAAAGGGAAGTCTCCTAAGTTGTCTTCTCCATGGGAAGGTCCATATGACATAGTGGATCGTCTCTCAGACGTGACTTTCCGGATAAAATGTGGTCGGCGAGGTAAGCCAAAAGTGGTGCATGCCAACAGGCTTTGGCGTTATCATGGTCCAGGACATTTCAGTTGGGACGAAGTGGACAACAGAACAAATGACGCTGCTGAAGACGTGCCACCTGAAGAATCCACCGTCGAAGAAGAAACTGTACTCAGTTTTGAGAAGGGAAATGGTGAAGCTCTTGATGAAGTTACTACCACTGATGTGACTGTTAGAACATTTCCTGACGAAGCAGATGAACCCCACGTGAAGCAGAAGCCAACGAGATGGAGACCAGTATGGAAGAAGATACGTCCCGTAAAATATAAATTGTTGAAATGTAATTTTGTGTTTGTAATTCTGTACATTTAATTAGATTATTGTTAATTGTTATTGGTTTAATGTAAGTGGCTGTTGTTCGGGACGAACAATACTAAGGAGGGTTCAGTGTTGCGTCAGCGAGGTCACGTGACTAGTATCACGCCACGTACTTCTCGAACCTTCGTGAATTATCGGGAGACTACTAGATTGGAGGTAGCCTGGTATATATAAGATGATCACAACGTGATGGAACAATGAGTAATTGAACTGCAGTCAGAGCGTGTGTAATTGAACTGAGTATTATTGAAGTTGAGCACGTGAGAAGTTCGTTGTTATAGCGCGACTGTTGAAATTAAGGGTATCGCAAAGTTATATTCAGAAAGAATAAACCAGTTTTATTTAAGAAAGGACTTGTGTCGCTAAAGTTTCATCGGAACGAATTTACGGAAAATTAACTAACGAACAAAGACATAACACAAAGATGCATGTTTTCTGCTAGGTGAAGTGTAAGTTTACGACCTTCTCATATCCCGTTTAAAACAATGTCGTAACACCTGCATGGAAATTTAGAAACACTTACTTAAATAACGATATAATATTAACCAATATTAGAAGAGTAAAATATGATAATATTTCCAATAGTGAGATTAGCAAATATTAATTTTTAAAATCACAGCTCTAATGGGGGAGAAAACTAGTTGGCTTCCTGAAAAAATATAATAAAGTAAAATGAATGGATGGACGAAAAGTATGTAGTTTTACTTTCTTATAAGAAAAGATATGTTTGCTTACAAAAATTTGCCTTGTGAAAAACCAAAATTTATCACATTCTACATCCTATATTTGAATGTTCTAGTTTGGTGATATGTACCTTTGTCTGTTCATTTCTTTGTTTCTTTTGTTTTAGTAACAGAACTTTGAGGTACGATGTCCTCAGTAAAATTAGTAGGTCGAGAATGGTGATGCAGAATAGTTTGTAACTTTTTAGTTGTATTCACTAACATAAACACAATGTCATTGTTTTTCATGGAGACCTTAAAAATTAAAAAAATACTTATATCTAATTCAAGCTTAAAAAGAAACGTGTACCAGAAAAATAAAATTACAGTATTTTAATAATGTTAGCATTTCATTCAAACTTGGCCACAAGATGTCACAAAATAAGCAAAATGGCAGTTGTTTGTAGTGCTACTGATACTACTACAACTACTACTAGTTTCATAAGGTTATCACGTCTAATAGACTTAAAAACTATTGTCTTTCAAGAGGTTTTAAACAAATCAAAAGCGACTATAAAACTGAGGTAAGATTATCTTACTTATGTTGTTATCTAATCACAGTAATTTTAATTTCAACTCTGTTTGTAACCCTAAAAACTTAAAGTTAAAGGCTAACGTTAGACCTAAAAATAAAAATAGAAGGTCGAGTATGTCACTTTGTCAGTAACTTAAGTGTGATAACTCCAGTCACTGACGTAAATAAGTCTGTATATTATTTTTTATAGTAGAGTTAGTTTTGATATACGGAAACATCTATTAGTGTTAGCTGAGTTCTTGCACAGATCTTAAAATATAACTTTCATAAATGGAGACGTCGGCTCATGTAGGTACGTAGATCTTGAAAGTCGAGTTGTTCAAAACTTGAAAATAGCGTTGATTACTGGACCATTTGTTGGTTGAGATGTTGCAAAAGAAATATCTGCTGAAGTTTTTTGCCAAACGCTAATCATAGCAGAACCGTCTGGAAAATGATATATAGGAAATAGTACAGCTTATAAAATGAATCAGATCAACGTAGGCCGGTAAGGCAGTCACTGATTGGCATGTCCTTTAGCCAATCAGGAAATGTCGCAGACCTACTGAAGGATGTATAGATTGTATAGGAATTCTTTTTGGTGGCAAAGGACAGGTTTATGTGTTTTAATAAAGATGGCTTCCAAAATAGAGAAATGAAAGGTTGACTGACCATTTGCAATAATTTCAAACATGCTATCCTGCCATTAATAAATGTTTTCCTGCATTGAACCCCTACTGTACTTATTCCACACGTATCTACATGAGCCAACTTTTCCATTTATGAACATTATATTCTAAGATCTGTGCAAGAACTCAGCTAACAGATGTTTTCGTATATCAAAACTATATTTAAGTTATGTACAATAAAAAACCTTTTCAAATAGAGTGAGTGTTTTTTAAATAAGAAAGTATATCCTTGATGTAACCTAATTATTAATTTCCACTGAAAGTTTTAAAGTGTTTAAACTTAAAAGACTTTAAACAGTTTAGTAATAGTATGTTATTGTTAGGGGCTTGAAATTTAATAAATTACATTATCTTAGCTAAATAACATTAGAAGACTAGGTTCAGGTTTGTTATTGTCCTATGTATTAATATTACTACACTGTGGTATTAATCTTTTTTTTTTTCCATGTTGAACTTGTTCAGTGTTATTTGGTTGAATTATGCTGGCAGTTTGAATGTTTTGTTGGATAATTGTATAGGTGTGAATGGTTATATAAGTTCAGGTGTTTTGTTTCTTGGGTGACTTTGATTAGACTTAGAGTGGCTATCTGAATTGCTGACAGTGCCATTTTTTTTCTCACTTTGGCTAACTACGTAGATGATCAATACACATAAGATCCCAAACTTTCTTCATTTTAAGGAATTAAAATTATGCCAGACCATAAAGTATCTTGTTCCATGGATTTGCCTTGTTTTCTTTGTGACCAAATATTTTCTGCCTATACATTTGACTTAAATACTTGATGTTTCTTTAGATTTCTGTTATGTATACTTATAGAAGTAGAAACAGTTTGTGGTTATTTCAGTTTAAAATTTATAGCATTCACATTTTTAAATTGGGAAAACAAATTCTTTGCATTATCTAAGTCTAGCTAAAGGTATCTGTTAAGGAAACAAAAAATGTATAAAGGACAATTTTAGATGATGTTCTCCTTCTTTCTTTTGTAATTAAATTCCTAATGACCTCATTAGAGGCTAATTGCATACCATGATTTGTAGAAGGTAATAATTGACTCATTTAATTGATAAACTACTTGTGTCTCTAAATTCAAAGTCAAAACTGTATAAAAGTGGAAATGTGCCATATTTCAAGGTGTGTGTGTGTTTTTTAATCTCCCTTTCGAGCAAAACTCTTAAAACAAAATAGCCCATGTACATCTTCAGACAGTTTCCAGTTGCTATATAAAACATTGCAATGATCAAGCCAGCCAATTCTGGGTGATGCAAGCCAAATGTATATAAAAGATGTTCCCTCTCTCAGGATATTTTTTTTTTATCCCTCTTCTTCTCCAAAAATCTTAAAACAAAATAGACCATAAACATTGATGGACAGTTTCCAGTTACCATACAAATAATTATAGTAATTAGCAATCGATATGTTCGAAGGAAAACGAAGTTTGATTATAAACAATATTATGACACTTATGATATACAACATTATTTATTGACAAAAAGGGGACATGGATAAACGTTTTAGAATTCTATCAGATTCCATCTTCAGTGTCTAAAGCAGAATAAAATGAACTTACATCAGTCTTTATACATTTTCAAAGTACAGTTGCCAAATATAACAATAATTAGACAAATAAAACACTAAAAAGTAATCATGGGGAGAAACTACAGCAAGAAAACACAACGAAAAATCAGTAATACAAACATATTAAAAATGTATAATTTAAATGAGGACTG